ATCCGGGGCGGCAAAAGCGGTTACAGCGCCAGCTGCGGTGCCCCTGAGCGGAGAAACGGACCAGCCTCTGTAAGTCAGGGCTGACTGCGGCAAGTTGCCCGCAGGCCAGAGCTCTAGGTCAATGCAAGGTCACAGGCTCTAGCCGTGCCACCTAGGTGCTGTGCATAAGGGTGCTCACAGTGCTCCAAACGGACGGAGGAGCGACAACAGAGCCTCAACAACGCTGTGTGATGCTCTGCAGCTTGGCTGTTCCCTGAGCCCTCCAAGGGGGATCACCCCTCTGGGGTGAGCTGGGGCTGAGGGTCCCTACATGGCCCAGGGGTGTGGGGCTCACAGGGCGGTGCAGCCAAAACCCATTGGGTGATGTGCAAAGCTTACTTTGGGAGCCTTTAGGGGACTGTGCAGGTGTGTGAGACTTAATACAGGCTGTTTAGCAGAAGACACGAAGACGGGGGAGGCATCAAAGTGGACAGGCATGAGAAAATCCAAGCCTGAGGTGGGGGTGTCACACGTTCTAATGTAGATGGTACGTGGCACTGGTAGTCTGTGGTCTGTCCTGTTCCTTTATTAAGATGTTTCTAGCAATTTATGGGTTGAGCAGAGTCTATTCTGCGTGTCTGAAGGTCTAAGCGTACGTGCTGCAGTGGAGTCTCTGGGCAAAGAGGCTCCTGCGTCTGCTACCGGCAACTAGGGGGACTGTGCAGATTGTGGTGGGGGTGGTTGTTGGGGACAGTGTCAATTTGTGCAATTCCTATTGGATATCAAGTCACACCAACCAGCCAATAAGGTGAGAGGCTTTCGAGCCTGGTATTCAGGATGAGGTGCAGGGCTACAAGTTACCTCCCCAGGTAGGTAACTTTTCCCACCCCTGGAAAAATCAGGGCGCAGGGAAGGTGTCTTAAGAATCAGCCACTGGGAAGGCTGTTGGTCCAGACCAGCTCCAGATGGATCTACCTGCGTGTGTCTGCGTGTGAGGTCAGAGTATGAGCGGCTGCAGCAACTGGGGAGACCAAGGAGCCCGGGGGGCAGCTATGGGACAGCAGCAGAAGGGATCCATAGTGTGTGTAGAGATATGTAAGCATATATGCAAATACATTCCGCTAGCAGACTGCTATCCTGATCGGCTATCCTGGGAAAGAGAGTGAGGCCATTGGTATCATTCGGGTTTGGTCACTTTGTTGACCTGCGTGGCTGGCCATACGCATTTGTACCTACTGTAAACACGTCCTCAGACTCGCCACTGGCTGGACCTGGGGACACAGAGACACAGCAACCTCATACCTATTAGGCTGCCAGATGCAGCAACTTTCAGTGCCACCCTTCTCAGCGTCCCTGTCCTTGTATTCTGCATTTCATTCCAGTCTAGCACAGACTCTTTAACCTACTGCTGATGCTCCAGCGGCTCACGTGTATTATTCTGTCAGGTAGGCAGCAATTCTGTGGTGAACTGTGATGCCAGAAAATGCTGTATGAATGGTCATACAAATAAGCAAAAGTAAAAAGCAGCCTGCATGCTCTCAGTCCCAGATTAATGTAAGGCTTTTATTGATGTCCTGTGCCGTGAAAGAACATAGTGACCCCTGCTCGGCAGGCCTTATATGTGTTCTGTTCCAGGAAGGAAGACAGAGTCACCTGGAATTTAAGCCCTTCAGTGGGAATATTCCCAGGAGGCAGTCTGCCGTAGAAATTAACAGCCCCCAGCAGGGCAGAGGGCCACGCCGATGTATGACGCTACCTCGTTTCATCGTACGTCAGTATTCTTCCTGTGGCAAAGCACTGAAGGGGGAACCATACTACAAGTTACTTTATTCTTGGAGCACTCTCAGTCCTGGGTAAGAATTATAGCATGTTATTCCACGTTCATGCACCAAAGATAGCACTGGTATAGCCAAGAGAGGGATTCTCGTTTACTTGTTCTGTTATACAGAGTCCCACAGAAACTGAAGGTGCTCTTTTACCTTTCGGGGAATAGTAACATGCTTATCTGCATATGGAACTTTCACCTCTCCCACTTTCTCTAAGCACTCTGGGTAGGTGTGGGTCATATGCTTCCCATATAGAAGGTATTCCCAATAACAATGAGGTTCAAGTAGTATCATATCTCTTTGTCAGCAGAATCAGACAAACACCTTGGACACAAAAATGAGAACGCAGCTCAAGATTGGCTGGCATAGAGTAGTTGCTTTCGTCTTAAAAGGAGTCCTGAGGTTCTCAGAGGGCTGGAATAAGATGACTTTAAACATCTGGTCGGCAAGAGCTCGACTGGAAGATGCAAATCTTTCCTCTGCTCGTGGCAGCCCTGTCAGACATCGTAGAACAAGCGCACTAGTTGGTATCGGATTGAAAATGCAATTATGCTGCCCAGCACCTAGGTTAAACAAAGGGAAAAAAAAAAGTTGAAAACTTGCAATGTTCAATATGTTACGGGCTGGTAGGTTCTTTTCCAGGTGGATGCGCTGTGGTGTCAAACATGGTTTATTTCACTAAATGACAATGTTAAAATATCTTAGGCATAGCACAATGAAAAGCAGAAGTCTGCCCCTAGTTCTCAGTCCTCTGTATCAGAATCATAACTCTCTGTGGGGGATCCTGAATATGCTTGTGCATGTTCACCTTGTCAGAATATGCAGAGATGAACAGTTGGGAATAATGCTTAGCAAACCTTTAGCACAACTAAACTATTGTTAGTGATGGGAAATGCCTCATCACGAAGCTCTAATTCCGTATCCTTTCAGAAAGTCAGTATCAAAACTTCTCTGGTCTGACTGGGATCAAGATGCTGTAGATTTATGCATGTATATTCCTCCCATCCCCTTCCATCCCCGAGGTAGCCTGCCTAAGGCCCGTTCAGTCTCCAGACTCGTTTCTTGGAAGTCTTGCTCCTAAATGGAAATTTGGCCAAGCCTCTCTTCTCTTTCCTGGTGAGTCTCTCTCATACATGATGTACAACGAAAACAAAACCAAACCAGACTTTATTATGAGCTTCTAATCAATACAGGCCTCTCAAAGAAGAGAGTGCCTGTAATAGGCAAGGGCGCTCACGTGCTGAATAGAGGTAGCACACGGCAGTAGGTGTGAGGCGCGTTGCCGCTGTATCTAGGTTGGTCCACAAAGCTCCCGCATTCCACTCAGGCTCCCTCTATTACTAAGACAGACACCAAGCTTGTGTAGGGCCATCAACTGGATGTAACGTTGTGCTGTGTTATCTGGTGTGACTTAAAAAAGTGAAACATGGAAAAGGCTCTACAAGGTCAGATAGACAAGGCAAGCACACAGTGATATTCTTCCTGCTCTTTTTCCAGCATCTGTCAGTTTGTGTTTGGGGATGTTCTCAAGCTACCATTGGGACTTTATATTTATTAGCTCTCCATGAACAAAGTCAGGTGGGAAGGAATCTATTCCCTTTCAGCTATGCAAACCTCTGCTTCTCCTCAAGTGCCACAACTAACTTGCTACTTGTGTGAAAGTATGACATTGTATTCCCCACCCTTCTCCATAACGCTCTTGTGCCTAACTTGGATCTCCTTCTATTGCAGAGAACATTTTTCTACCTGAGAAGACCCTTTGTCTGACCTGGATGAGTAGCAACAGGAGAGTGAGACTGCGCTCATGCGTGGGTCCAGTCAGCTTTATAACAAAGTTAATAAGCGTCATATTATTGCACTCGGTGTATTCGCCGTCTTCATCCAGTCCGCTCCTCACATCGACGATGTGCAAGACCTTTACTGCCTGGAGAAAGAAATATTGCATGCTGTTTGACCAGGTACATTTGCTGCTCACCGGTCAGCTTTGCCCAAGATCCCTTTTGCTGTACCATCCCAGTGGTCTGACTCGTGCTCTTACTGAAAAGAGAGGACAGGCTTATGAGGGCCTGGGACCACTGCTAGAATATGGTTGTTAATACGACTTAGTGTGCATGAGGGACAGTGACAGTACTACCCTGAGTGTTTTCCTGTGGATTTACACTAGGAATTAACCGCTGTTCCCTGAAGTGGTGCCTTGCCTCTCATCCTGTTCCTTTCCCATTCGATCACTGTCTCAAAACATGTCTCGACTTCACTAGTCTTTCTAATATTACCTTCAGAGTGTATGTTCCCAGTGCTGAGAGGCTCTTCGTTTTGAATTTGGAGTAGCTCATCTCCAACTTCCCTGTATTAGGATTGAGCCTAAAGGAAACATTGACATTTTAGGAGCAAGGAGATAGAATGGTCTTTCTGTAATGAGATACAGATTCCTATTTGGGTAGGTCAGAAAACAGGGGGAACAGAAATAATCTGATAGACATAACAGCACCTGCTGATACCTGGTCCCTCAGATCAGGCCAAGTTGAGAGAAGATTCCTTTCGCCCCATGTTCCCCAGATGTTTTTTATCAACTTGTATGGTTTTAAAAATGAAAATCCAATGTGCAGAGACAAGCACTGATACGGCATAGTACCGCAGAATGCCTGCCACCGGGAAATCTTAGCAGATCGTACTCCAGTAACACCGGTAGCGGCCTGCATCAATTCCCCTCATGTTTGTAGCTGCAAATAAATCATAGTCTGACATTGTTAAAGACCAGTCTTCCATACCTGGAAAAAATATTAATTTTCTTGGCAAACCTGTGTGACTGAACTATAGTCGGCAGAGCGAGGCAGCAGCTTTTTCACTATTAAGTCTATTTTGATAGGTTTCAAAACAGAACATCTACCCACCGGGGTTCTTGTTTCTCAGCTGGTGCTTGGAGGTAAAGGGCACCCATGTCTGGTGCAGAGATGTCAGGTCAGATACAGGTCAGTCATGTACATTACCTGGGCAGCCGGTGGCGGGGACAGGGAATGATGTGGAAGAGTTGAGGCAGTGAGTAGAGGAAGTTGAGCACTTGCGGGATGAAAAAAAGCAGCATTGTTTTACTGAAGTGTCCCAAGATCCCCACCACAGCGAAGGTCATGCCAGCAAAGTAGCAGAAGGTGTCCCCCACAAAGACTCGCGATGGGTACCTGCGGGCCACAGAGCAGAAGCGCAAAGGTCTGTCAAGATGGCTGTGCCCTAAGAATGGCTCCAATCCGCACATGCATTTCCCTGTGGCAGGGTAGGGGGCAGGAGGGAAATGCAGACCCAGCTGCCTTGCTTTCAGCTAACGTGGACAATCCAGCCTCCGCTAAGAGCGCAGTAACACTTTCACACTGTACTAACACAGTTGCTGCTAGCACACTTCCTTTGGGGAAGAAGAATGATGCGGTTGGCCAGCAAACCCCCAGTCCGAAAAAGCAGAGAAACTGCCTGATCCGATGCATCTTTGTGCTACATAAGCAATAGCAAAATTTCAGTATTTTTCAAATACTGACAGCCTCCATCTTTTTGGTCACGCAGATCGTAGAGCAACACAACTGCAGCCTGCAAATCTCAGTTCTGCGCTGAAGAGCACAGCGGATGCAGGTACGTGCACTAGAAACTTTGGGACTGCAGCCCACAGCCTGAGAAGCCGGCGTGTAAACAGGGGCAGCGGGGCGTCAGAGGCAGAGCACTCCGTGGGGGTTTAGTACTCCGTTGGAGAACAACTCCACCAAGTTGTTCAAGCACATATAAGAACCATCAGTGGGTCACTGCATGGCCACCTTGGTTCTAGCCAAAGTCTTGTCTAGGCCGCAGGATTCCACCGGCGTGGAATGCCTTCAGCATTTGTTTGAAAAGGCAGAAAAGGCAGAAAGTAAAGACAGATACTTCTCTGAATGCCCATCCTCTTACCAGTTGTGGTAAAGCAGCCCCAGTGTTGTAAAAAAAAAGGGAATCATGAAGTAGAGAGAAAAAATATGATCATCTTGATAATCCCCTGCAGAAGAAAGAAACAAAATGAGTTTGTGCTAAGTTAGGATTAGCTCGCTTTTAGTACTACCGGGCCCTGAAATCAAGGATTCTAGCTCCCTTTGCTCTCTGCACGGCCCCCGCCATGTGTGTTCTTCCTTACCATTTAATTCTACAATGTTGAACGTGATGATGGAAGCGGCAATCACCAGCGACTGTCCTGCTTCGAGCCCGTTAATTCCGGCCAGAATGTTGATGGCGTTAGTGCAGAACACGGCCAGCATGCCCATGTACACGTAATAGAAGATACCTGCAGATCAGGGCGAGGCGAGCGCTTGAGCATCCATATGTGGCACAGTGCACTGAAGTAAAGCTCTACTCTTGTGCGCCAGCCTCTTGCCTAGCAGTCTCTGCAAGTTTCTAAATCAGTAGATTAGTAACAAAGAACCCCTTCCCCTGGGAACCTGCTGTCGTAGGGCATGGCGTCTGCTGCAAAGCGAGCACGTGCACCGAGAGATGCAGAGCAGCGAAGGGCTGTAACGCTCTTTCTGCGCTTTGATGGTTTTGGCATCTGAGTGGCAGATGCACGTGGCACTTGGATCCCCATATCCCCAAGGCCACATTGTCAGGTGCTTTGGCCCCAGGGCACTGCAGAAAAGTTTGGCGCCTGGCTGCAGAGGTAAAGGTGGGATAGCCAGTCACTTCCTAGCCTAGAGGTTGCCCAGAGTCGTGCCCTCCTGTTGGCAGCTTGAGCAGATCCTTCCCGACTCTCTTCTGCACTGTGAAAATGGCTATCCGCTACGTGCCACAGTTTCAGGGGAGCACGTCCCCCGTCACTTGCTGCGTAGACAAGGGCTTCCAGCAGGTCTTCACTTACCCAGGTCCAGGTGCAGGCCCAGGAGTACGCGGAAGGGCTTGGGCACCACAATGGTGGTGTTCCCGAAGTTGGTGAAGTAAACCATGAGCAGCGGGAGGGAGGCCAGGGTAGGGAGCAGCAGCTTGTGGCGCCAGCGCAAGTTGAGGACATCATCAGCGAAGCCCAGGAAGATCATGCAGGAGATGGAGAGGAGGGAG